GTGGCGCACTGCTCATCTCACCAGTCTAGCCTGAACCTAGAAGCCACCATTATGGTGCCGTGGAGAGGTAAGCTCTCCAGGTTCAGATTCCCACACACCCTCCCATACCAGATGTATGCATGTTAATGACCTCAAAAAGACAGTCTATCCAAACCTGGCCCAAAAAATCACAGGCCATTGCTATTCCTCTAACACAAGCAAACCTTCAGAGGATGTCCTAACTAGTGGGTTCATATTCCCCTTAGGAACAACATGCCTTAGAAGCTAGAACCACCACCAGTTTCCTGCCCACCTTTCACTTCTGTCAAAGTTGAGGCAGAAGTGGACCCGTTCTTTACGTTTGAAGCGAACGGACAGCTGAGCGAGAGGTTCACAGAGAAGCTTCCTTCCAAAATCCCTGGTTGGAAATATTGTTTGGAGACCACCACTGTCTGAGCCCAGAAGGCAGCCTGGCAACACCTCCCCCTAGAGCCTTCTTCAGGAGTCCTAGTTATGCAGCCACTAACAGACAAGTTTGTGGTTCAAATCCTGCAGTCAGAAGGAAGTTGTGCAATCTGCTTCCATAAAGATTACAGCTTTGGAATGGAAATTCAAAGTCTCTGCAAATTTTCATTGAAATTAATAATAAATTTAAAAAGATTACAGCTTTGAAAGCTCTATAGAGCTGTTTATTCTGCACACATGGGGTTGCGCTGAGTCAGAATCCATTCACCAGCCACTGGTGAGGGACTTCCTGACAGTGTCCCCTGTGGGTAGTCTTGCTCACCAGCTCTGAGAGGGCTCAGACTGAGACTCAGGAAACTGGGAGAGGACCGAGGGATGGAGCTCATCTCTGAGCTTTCTAGATCTGCAGGTCAGAAATCATTAGTCCTCTGTGAAGGGCAACAGGGAGTCCTGCAAAAAAAGATCTAGACTCTAGACTGGCAAAGGCACAAACTGCAGTGGACTCGAATGGGCTTAGGTATTTAACATCTTTGAGCTCAGTTGGCACATCTGTAAAATGGGGCCATCACACCTTCTTCACAGGTTGGCCTCAAAATTAGGATGGAATGGTTTACGGCTATCCATCAGGCTGTGCTTTCCATTAGCCTCATTCCGTTCCCTCATAGCGGTTGGGGAGGGACAGGCAGGCAGAGATGGAAAGAAGAGAATTCCTAAGCTCAATGGAAGAGAAAGAGGAATCCTGGGTCCTTACTGTCTGTGCAGACAATCGCCTATCTACCTGTCTTTAAACTTCCCAAAGTTTCGATTCACCAAACGAGTAGGCACAAAGGGCCACAGCTCAAAATTTAAGACTCCACCAGCTCACACCCACAAGATATTAACAGCCAGAAACTTCCACTCTTCTTTGAACATTACTTTCCCCAAAGCTCATGTCTGCAAAAGAGACCGAGACAAATGCTTACTCTCAATTTTCAAAGATTTAGTGAAAATATTGGACTCTATCTTATCTTAGATGAAGTTCTAGTTAAGTCAATTGTCTTAAAAATTCTTTCCCCCCTAAATAAATATCCATCAATACTATCCCTTAACAGGGCTTACTTAACCCACACTCTGCTACTGTGTAACCTCAAGCAAGTTTCTTTACATCTCTGTGTCTTATAATCCTTGTCTTTATGAGGTGGACGGCCCAGAACCAAAAGCCCTAAGCTCAAAGTTCATAGACGGTCCTCACAGAATATATTCATTATTTTCACTAAAGGAAACACGGTTGGCCTTAAGATGAGCACGAATTCCTTAAAAAATAGGATAACACTGGCTCATCCCAGAAGGGAAGTGGGTGGCAGATAGGCCAATAACAGAAAGGAAAAGTTTGCCGTCACACTGAATTCAGCTTTGCATCTTTTGAATTTTGAAGCAAAGGAATGCTTCACCTATTTAAAAACCAAATCCATAAAAATATATATTAAAAAGGAAAGAAAATATATGCAAGCCCATGTGTGTCGGGCCACCTGTACATTCCTCCCCTCCCCAAGGAGAATCCTTAATTCTTATCAGGTTTTCTTAGCCTCCCTAACTCGAGAGGTTAGAAACTAGGTAGGTAACCTGAAGGGTCATTTTCAATAAACTCATTATTTCAATCAGTCTCGGTTCTCAGTCCTTGCTCTTGAAAATACATCTTTGGATATTACATGTAAATTGTATGTGCATGCATGTCCCCAGGGGCAGTGCCCATGTAGATGTAGCACTTGGGGATTTCCTGTTCATCTCCTATGGTGCTGGTTCTCTAAGATCAAGGTCAAGCAATGACCCCATCAGCCTAGTCTCTACAAAGTGCTGGATAAATTCCTCTTTGCTCTACCCACTGTGCCTATTGAATGAAATAGCCAGCCTATATTAGCTGCACAAATAATGTCTTAAAAGTAACACAACCTAGGTTTTCAGTGTCGATAGATAACTTTGGCACTGAAAGAAGAGAGGAAGAGAGAGAGAGAGAGAGAGAGAGAGAGAGAGAGTGTGTGTGTGTGTGTGTGTGTGTGTGTTGGTGAAGATCCAGTCTGAGCTCATCTGGAGTCTGAGGTCAGAGTCTCTGACGTCCACCACGTCCACCACGATCCTCACAGGCCAGAAAGGAAGCTCTCCTAGGTGTCTGATGTGGAAAGCTTCAGGGAAAGGAAAATCTAGTTGAGAGATCAAAGAGTGGTAGACTAGCAGCTGAATGGGTCGGAGCCAGAGAAAAAGGTCACAACATGACTCAAAAGAAATGGGGGGGGGGACAGGGGCTGAGTGTCATTTACCAAATGGCCCCTAGCTATGGGAAACTTTCATTAACTGCACCATTATAATTCACTTCCAGCCCGAGTTCCACCCCTCTCTCTTCCTCCCACTTTCTCCCTCCATACTCCCCCAGGTCCGCCAGGCTTCCTTAGTGAAACCAAACTGGCCGCCTTTTGCTGAAGGCTTCATTATTACAGCTCCTGCTTGTGCTAATAATAGCACCCAGCAACAAGAACAGGAGGAAAACCATACAGTTTCCAGTCCTTAATGACAGCTCCATGTCTCCTGCCTAGGTGCATGAAATCAAGGGTCTTGGAATTCTAAAAGTCCCTGAACATAAAATCACAGCAACGAAAAGAGGGAGGCTGCAGGCGAGCAGGTGCAGATATGTACGAAGAGGCAGGTAACAGTCCTCCCAGTCGGAGACACCGTACAGCACCCACACTGGTCCACAACTAGACAGGCGCCCCACACATCCAAGTTCAAACTCATGGTATAATGCTAGGGCTGCACCCACCTCTCTTTTACTTGCTGGCAGTTCATGACTCTCAATCTCTGTATTCTCAGGCTGCACAGCTTTTGACCCATGTTAAGAGTGAGCAACGAGGGTGGGGGCTGGGAGCACCTTGCAGGCTCTTCCAGGCGAAAACAGGCTTGCTTTTTATTAATGAGCTTATGAGAAAAGCCAAGCCAGGCCTTTAAGTGAAATATGTGATTGGTAGCCAGGCTGAGATGGGTTTTAGAATTAACTCTTCCTACAGTCTGCTATGCATTATCACCCCCAAGTTAATTACCCCTGAGGATGAAAATAGGTTTCATGACTCATAGACACCAATACAACGTTTGGCAGCAGATGAAAATGCAAGGACACATTTGCAGGAAGCTGACACACAAACTATTTATATTTGGGGAGATTCTTAAAAAGGTGAAACAGGCACCTCCTCTCTTCCAGGATTAAGAAGCTGCAGGAGATGCATCAATTGCCATTTATGCACACCCCGACATGACACACATACACACACAGAGAAAGAAGATACACAGAGTCATGGTTTCCATCCCTTCAACGACGGTGGCAACAAAGCAGGAACAGAAACTAAAAGGGTGTTATTAACAGCAAGTTCTAACACCAACCCAACGTCTCCTTCAGAATTCTGAAGTGACCAGTGATTTGTTTTTCCCTAAACGTGCCTGAGCCCACACCCACCTTTCCCCTCTCTCTCTCCCTTTGATGGAGGTGGGGAGGGGGAGCCAAGTCTGCTCCCTTATTTCTCTGCTGGGGTACCGGATCGTCCAGGCTAGGCTAACCCCGCCCAGGAACGGGGTGTGGCCTGGAATGGCTTCAGATAGGATCTCCGGGTTTGGTTTTGCTTCCTCTCTTCGGTTTTCTACTCTTCCATTTTGCCTCCCAGGAAAGTACAAGGTTCAAACTGGATGATGCTTGTTTTGCTCCAGTTCTAGGAGGTTTCGAGGGGGGCTCGGAGTTCAAAAAGCCCTTCCAGTGCCCTGCCCCTTCTTCATCCTTCCCAAATGCTGCCAAAAAGTTCACTAGAGGAATAATTGCATTTCCTCCCTGGTAGAAATGGATTTTATTTGCTGTCATTAAGTGACCTTTACACCTAAGGAGCTTTTTTCTTCCTTAATGGCTCCCCTTCCCATCTCTGGCTTTTAGAAATACTTATCAAAAAGGGAGGGAGGGGAAAGCCTCCCATGTAATGAGGTGAATACTGCTTTTGCGACGCTTCAGCTACAAGCTGCGGGGAACCCTCCGGGCTGAGCAAGCTTCCCCAGAGCCCACTCCCCTCCCCACCGCCCCTGACGACTCCCAGCTCGGTGGCATTTTTGTCTTACATGTGCAACAGCCGTGATTTCTGCCACATCTAAGAGGCAAAGCACCCTTGTTGGCTTTTTTTTTTTTTCTTACTTGCACAATTCACAGTTACACTGGGTATCAACATATACTGATGGCCACAGGGCGAAGCACTAGAAAAGCATTCTTGACAACGCCAGTCACAGCTGGGTCTTTTATTTTTTTTGGAAGGGAAAGGGGCGAGGGATAGACTTGCTGAAGAGTAAACAGAAATCGCTTAGTCAGCAACTGTCGCTCCCCAGGAGGTGAATGTAAATAGCTTGGTCCCAAGGGGGAGGGGCAGCCCAGCAGCCCAGGCCTTCCACAGATGCCACCTCACCTCGGGGAGCGCTCTGGGAGCGGCTGGCATTGGTGCCCCTGTCTTGGAGCAGGGGTCTGGGTCCTAGAAAGACAAACTTGCTGACTCAAGGCAGAATTAATATCAATTGAATTTATTACAAGTTACTAAGCTCCAAGGCACATTACAGTGTTCTGTTAACTACAGAAATGTATAAAGGACAAACAGAGCAGATTCTCCATGTCTAGCGTTTCGCTCTACTGTTCAAAAGCATCCGTGCATCAATAAAGCAAAAAACAAAACACGTGAAGATCCAACACATTCAGATCAGGAGAAACAAACCGAAACATTTCCCTCACAAACTTGCAACGAAAAACACCCCGGCCCCCCCACACTCCCCTCACCATTTTGCAAACAGAAAAAACAAAAAGTAAAGTGAAGACTCAACACTGAGGGTTGCTTAAGAAGCTTTCACCATTTTTTATAGCATCTTTTTTTTTCTTTTTAATTTTTTTTAAATTTTTTTTTCTTTAGGCAGCAACACTGGCCTTGGGGGGAAAAAGTCTTTTTTCTTTTGTGTTGTCTTTTTTTCCTTTCAGAGTGCATAACATTTAAAAAATACACACCAGCAGCAGTCGTTGCTAAGGGTTATTAATTCTGTACCTAGGCAAACACTCTGCCACCAAATAAATGCTAACGAGTATGATGCAAATGACCCAACCAATATACTGCTTAACACAAACCAGCTTATCCTTCAAATGAAGAAGTTACATACCTTTGTTTCAAAATATAGAAACATACGACGAAAATAATGTCTATACATAAGACTAACTTTTTGCAGTTTGTTATATTCACAATTCTACATTTTGGGGGAAGGGGAGGGAGGGAAGGAAGAAGGAAGGGTGGGGGAGGGGCCCTCTGGATTGGAGAGGAGCTGGTCTAGGGCAAAAGAGGCTGTCCTGTGGTTCAAGGGTCTCTCTCCTTTTTCACTTTAACATCTCCGGCTAAGATAGTCGCGATTTCGCCCTGCATGAAGGCCCAAGGTACATTTGACCCGACCAGGGGGCATTTCTCTCCGCTGGGGCAGTACACCTCGCCCGTGGCCCCCTGCGCCTTGATGCTTTCTCTGGAGCAAGGGAAGCAAAATTTGTGGCTGGGGACTGATGGGCACTGAACGAAATGCGTGTCCTCCAAACGTTCGTGACAAATGGTACAGCAGAGGGGCCCGCTGTTGGCCATGGGGGAATCCGGAATGTTTTGGGGATGCACTTGGTCCATGCCAGGGTGGGCGCTGGGAGGCGGGGGAGCCACCTGCAAATTCAGGTCCCCGTTACGTGATGTCAAGCGGCGTTGCCCAGGCACGGAGGCCGGTGACACGGGGCTGCTGCTGTTGCGCCGCGATGACGCGGTGGTCGAGTGCACGGAGCTGCCATCCTTGGGTGAGTGGGCCGTGCCCAGAGTGTCCGCCACCGACATAAGGGCGGCCATGGGGGATGGGCCATTCTGGGGGGCTGACTCAGGTGGGGTGGTCCGATTGGAATGGGGTCCCAGGGGTGGGGGCGGCCCCCCAGCTGCGTGCCCCGGAGCTGCAAAGCCCCCCGCCGACATGGTGAGCTTCAACGCCTCGCTCTGGTTCGTCATCCACTGCTGCCTCTGTTGCTCCTCGCCCAACTTCAGCGCCCCCTCGGCCGAGTCCGGGGGCTCGGGGGATGCCTTCCTCTTGCGCAGGCTGGAGGCTGCACCCCGACCTGGAGGGGCAGCAGGCGGCAGGGCCCCGGTGCCAGGTGGTGCGCTGGGGGCGCGGCTTAGGCTCACCAGCGCCGTGGGCAGCATGGGGCAGCTGGCGTCCAGGTAGGGTTGGGGCAGCATGTCCGCGCCGGGCACGCCCTCCTTGAAGAAGCGCACGGCCTCAGGCAGCAGGTCCCCCAGCAGACGCCAGTCCCCGGAACCATGCTTCTTCTCATACTCCAGGTACTTGAAGCCTGAGGACAGTCCCCGGCCAAAGTCCTTCATGCAGTCCTGGTACATCTGCTTGGCCACCCCAGACGCGCTGGAGTACACGTTGCCCGAACCCGTGGGGTACTCAATGAACAGCTTCAGCTCGTAGTCCATGCCGGGCTTGGACACGGCGTCGAAGGCGAAGACGCGGCCCAGCAGCGAGTGGTCCTTCTTGAAACGCACCTCATAGGGCGTGCAGCCCGCCAGCGTGAGCAGCGTGTCGCGGACCATCTTGGGCTTGTTGGCCCACTCCTCGGCGCGGTTGCGCAGGCTCTCGCTCAGCTCGGCCAGGGCCTCGGCGTTGCGCTGCTTCTCCTTGAGCTCGCGCTCCTGGTCAGTGCTTGACACTGACCCAGGCCTTTTGGCACTGGCGCCCACGCCCACCTCTGCCACCGACGACGAGGTCGAAGACGACGCCGAAGACGATGCGGCCGGCACGCCTGGGGTGCCCCCGAGACAAGCAGGACCCCCGGGAGCCCCTGGGGGCGCGGGCGTCGGGGGCCCACGGCTGCTCAGCCCGTGGGGCGGTGGTGGGGGCAGCACAGCGGCGCTGGCAGGTCCGTTAAGCAGCGTCTGCGGCAGCAGGTTGGGGGGCACTGTGAGCTGGGGCCCTCCGCCACCTCCTGGGTTGGGCAGCCCTGCCACCAACCCACTGTGCGTCCCCCGCCGAGATGCCACCGACGCCGCAGCTGAGGACGAATTGGGACTCTGGCGGTTCAGTTCTGGGGGTCCCTCTTCCGTGGTTGGTTTGGGGAAGCCGTTGGGCCCCCCCAGGCCGTTGGGCAGCCGCGCAGCGTGGCTGCCGCTTCCCAGGCTCACCGGCGGCGGGGGGTACTCGAAGCGGCTGCGCTGTTCCGCGGCGGCGGCAGCGGCGGCTGCGGCTGCGGCAGCACTCAGGCCATAGCGCTCCAGGCCGGACGGGGCCGCCAACACTGCAGGTTTGCTGGAACCGTCGACGTGGTTGAGCTGTTGCTGCTGCTGTTGTTGCTGCTGCTGTTGCTGTTGCTGTGCCGCGGCTGCTGCTGCGGCGGCTGCCGCCGCCTCCTTGGCCGACAGGGCCACTGTCTTGACCCCGACGGGCGGCGGCGGCCCCGGGGAACGGCCGTCCTGGAAGCAGCCGTGCGCCCGCTTTAGTTGGCGCGCAGTTTCGATCACGAATTCGATGCGATCGGCGCCCTCATAGTTGACGCAGCCGCGGCACACGGGTTCCGAGAAGTCCCAGATCATGGCCCAGGGCATGCGGGGCAGGTCGCACAGGTAGCAAGATTGTCTCCGGGACGAGGACACCTGCGCCGCGGACATGTTGCCGGCCCAGGGGAAGGTAGGCCGCTGCCCGGGTTGTCTCCGCGGCGCCTTCTCCTCCGGGACGACCGCTCGGCTGCGGAGGGAGTCCGGCTGCGGGGGAGGGAGGAGGAGGGCGAGAAAGTTCTGCCCCAGGGGCTGGAAGGAGCGCGCGTCTCCACCGCCGGCGTAGCGCCTCTCCGCGGGGGCTTAGCCGCCGGGCGGCCGCCTGCTCCTCACCCCCACCTCCTACTGCGGCTGTCTCGTTGGGGAGGGGAGCTCAGGCGCCTTCTTCCTGGTACCGGAGACCCAGGCTGGAAGCTCCGACCCGGGGGGAGGGGGCGGGTGCCCGGCCGCCGCTGCCTCTTGAGCCCCCTCCCCGAAGTGGCTGGTGCGTGGAAGGTCGAATAGGGTTGCCTCTTTCACTCGCCAAGGGATACCCCTACGAGCTGCGTCCTCTCCCCGCCAGGCTCCCTGGGGCGAGGGCTAGAGGGCTCGGTGCCACCCGGTGCCCAGGTCCAATCTTGTTGAAGCTGCTGCTTTCCCGAAGGGCCGGGGAGGGAGGGGTGGTGGCAGCCGAGAGAGGCGCTTCTCCCCTCCGCAGCGTCGGCCGGTCCGCTGGCGGAGGCTGGCTTTGCGCGGCCGGAGGGAGCCGCCGCGGCCACTGCTTCCAGGACGCACGAGAGGAGAGGAGTGCACGCACGCAGGCTCCCGTCGCCCCGGGCCTGGCCGGCGCCCGGGCCGCGCGGTTGGCGGCGCTCACATTGGCTGCAGGGCGCTAGCGCGGCGCCTCGGCCCGGGTCGCATCCCTTCCCGCTCGCGCTCGCCCGGAATGTGAGGTTGTGATTGTTACTCTACGTTCCGGAGGCGCGTCTCGGCGCTCCCGCTCGGGCTGCGGCTCGCGCTGTCCCCGGCTTGGCCGCGCGGGATGCCGCCCGGGCGGAGCGCTGACGTCACCGCCATGCTCTGCACCAGTTCCCCCCACCCCCCCTTTACACTTCCTCTGTGTGGAGCCCACTTGTTGCTCGCGAAGGGCGCATGCGCGGCCCGGAGCCCAGATTCCTCCCCGTCGGCCCCTCCCCCTCGCCTCCGCCCTCCCCTCCCCCTCGCCGTGTGTGTACAACAGCTGAGGCCGGGCGAGCTAAAGCTGGAAGCCCAGGGCTGGGGGTGGAAATTAAACAGACGCTGACCTTTCCCTTCCCCGCCCGGCTTTCCGAAGTAAAAACGCATTTAGGAACCACAAGCATCGTTTCCGAGCCCCCCACCCCCAGCTACCCCCCTTCTCCACCCGCGGCAGGGAATTTAAACGTCCTGTTTCAGGACTTGCGCTGTGAATTTCATATAGGGAATTACTCATTTCATGAAATGCGATGAAATCATCTCCCCTGGTGGGATGTCGCACCCTTTGCCACCACGGATGCCATAACACCTGCAAAATTATTTAGCTTTCTTCCAATCTTCCAGAAATTGACTTTTCTATGTGATTGTTTTTGTTTGTGACCTAGTGTAGGAACCCGGGCTTCCACGAAGAAGCTCGACGCATCCAGGGCGAGCTTTCCCCTCCCCCATCCGCACTCTAAAAATTTTGGCTGAACGTCTAAAGAAGCTACGAGCACCCGGAGGCCTTTAAGGAAAACAAGTCGGCTGGCTGCGCACAGCTGCTGCTGGGGGCAGGAAGGGGGAGGTGCTGGAGAGGCCAAATAGGTGAGTGGCTTGTTGTGTTTTTTTTTTTTTCTTCTTCAACATTTTATTGTGGTTTGGGTGAAAGTTTACGGAGCAAATTAGTTTCCCATTCAACAACTTAACACACATTTTGTTTCGTGGCATTAGTTGAAATCCCCTCCGCGTTAACAATTCCCATTCCCCTTCTCCCTGGGTTCCCTGTCTCCATTGGTCTATCTTTCCTAGCCCCTCTTGCCTTTTGAACTTTATTTTTGGGCACAAGCTGCCCTTTTGGTCTCCTTGGCTGTGAGTAGTTTTTCTGGGTTTGAGCAGAGAAGGCGGGGGCAGCATTTAATAGTGATCTTTGCAAAGCACAGCACAGTTTCCAAAGTACTTAATCACGTGCAGTGATTTCCTTACATGTGGAATGACCTAAATGGCTGGGAAAGGCGCTGGCTTTCTTTCCCTTACAGAACGACTGGTCAGTTTTGCTTACTGCAGGACAGATATGTTGGTTGCACTGTGGTTGACATATTTCAACCGAATCTTCAGCTGAACATGTTTGCTGCCTTTTACTTAGTGAAAAATTGAGATAAGCCTGGGAAAGTCTGGAGGAAGGGAAGCAAAATAATGGAATCCAGACACTGGAATTCTGGCAGACCCAGTAAGAATTTCCTGTTCAGTATTTACTTGTTTTGTGACCCTGGGCTAGTTACCTAACCTCACATAATCTCGATTGTCCATCTGTAAAATGGGAACAATCATCTCTCGTTTAGGGTTGTTTGAGGTTTCCATTCATTTCTGTAATGACAGGAGGCAGCTCTTACTAAGACTTGCAATAGGCCAGACGCTGTGCTAGATCACGTGCTCTCATGGCTTAGGAGTAACACTGCAATGTAGAAATAAAAATAGATTTCTGTCATTAAATCCATTTTATAGACCAGAAAAGTAAAGAGGTTATCTAATTGGCTCAGCATTACATAGTTTGTAGACAAAGTTGGGATCTGAATCCTGCAAATCTAAACACATTACCTTCCCAGATGTGGCGTCGGAGTGTTCAAAGGTCCCACCAGCCCCCTCCCCATTCCGCTTTGCAGTAGCCTATGATCCCAGGAAAGCTACTGTTCAGATACACCTTGGTGAGGAAAGCCCAGCCCCCTCTTCCAAACAGACCTTCCCACTGCGTTCTTCCATATATAGAAGTTGCGGGTCTGTCACTGCCATGGACTGGAACATAAATAACACCCTACAGTATGTAAGGCACAGCTAGCCCACAGCATGTGTTGATCATTATTGTATTAGTAATTGTATTGGTGCTGTGGCCTGTTAGCATGTGAAAGTACTTTGTAAACTGCCTAAAATGCAAGGGTCATTATTCATATCGCTACAATTACCACTAATTGTAATACCAGGAACATTTTTTTTCTTCCCCCCCCCCCCCGCCTTTGACCTTCAGAGCCTCTGCCCCCACCCAGCATGCCCCAGTACCTCATCCTTACTCTTCTGGGGTCTCAGGTTTGAAGGGAAGGGGGGCCTTTTAAGAGTAGGCAGAGAAAGGGGGCACATCTAGCCCTCATGCTCCCCTCTTTAATTTCAGAACAGCCAGATTTCTGTTTTTGCAAAACAGTGAGCTCACAGTGCACTCCCCAGCAATAACAAACTTTCCCTGGCCGCCCTGCGCCAGCAGCCAGTCCTCTGCGCGGAGCAGCTCGCGGAGCATTGCCTCACCCTCCCAGACGTCAGCCCTCCCCACGCCAGGCTCCCTGGAGTGAGTCAAAACACGGGCTGGGAAATGGCGGAGCATCCCCGCCAGCGTTCAGCTCCTTGGTTTGGGCTTCGCTGATTCACCCTTTTCTTTGCATTAATAATTATTCAGACTTCTCTTGTATTAAGCTAAAAGCACAGGGGAACTAACAATTTAGCCACAACCCCATAGCCAGGCTGCTTGAGAAAGGCAAGTTGGATTCTATGTCAGAGTGTTATGTTTGGTATGCGCACACATATGTCTGCAGCTCCTTGTCTGTGTCTGCCTTCAGTGTTGCTGAAGGAGATATATATACACACACATGCCGGTCGTCTTCAGACATACTGAGTTAGAAATAAACCTGCATTTCAACAAACTTCCATTGCAGTCTCAATCCTTTAAAAAAAAAAATCATAGCTCTCCATATAAGTCTTCCCACTCATCCTCCTTCACCTCCCCTCAAAAAAAAAAAACCCAAAACCCAAGAATCACTGTCATTTATGGTGATAAATACCATCTTAACTGCTTGTCTGAGACGACCCTGCTTGGGAATATGTGGAGAATTGTGGGACGTAGGGAACACCAGGGTTTTTGGAGATGGATTTTCCTTTCAGTGGGAAGCCCCCCACCAAGGTTGTGTCCATATCCGTGGTGGCAAGGGAGGAGACCTGCACCCCAGGCGCCAGGTGGAGGGGCAGGCAAGATTCAGACAGCACGGTAAACCAGCAGGGAGAGGTAAGACACACATCCTCAGACACACCTCCCAATCCATCCCCACACATCCCTAACCCACAATTCCAGGCGCAAGCGGAACCACGAACCACCGCATTGCCTTCGCAAAGTTCCTTCGGCACACCCCTCCCTTCCCTCTGCCCCCCAGATTGCCATCTGTGCTGGCATCCTCTAAGAACCCCTATCTAAACTGGAGGAAAAGGTCAGCTATCCACCAGGCCTTTCCAGAACGCCACAGTCAGCCTTTGGGGTAAGGAGGTCACAGTGCACCCATACACCTCGACTCCCCGCTGCCTCCCTCCAGCCCCAAGTTGTTCTATGGCAGAGATGGGGCGGGAGGAGGCCCACCCTCTCAGGCCTGACATCCCAGAAGCCAGCTGGCTCGGCCTTGGAGGAGGCCCCGACTGAACCTCGCGTCACCCCGCTGCAACGCGCGCCGCCAAGCGCTCTAGCGAGAGAAAGGCCTTTTTTGGTAACACTCCTCAGGCGGGCAGTAAGCAGGACCAGAGCTGCCACAGAATAGATGAAAACAAACGTCAGGGTTGGGCCCTCCTCTGGTCTGTCCAAGTCCCCAACTCCCTGCGCACCCGGACCCCAGGGGCAAAGAATGATCCCTGGGCCTGCGACTCGCAAAGGGGCTGCTGCGAGTGGGGGAACCGAGGCAGCACAGTGATTTACACTTGGACTCCCAGGCAGGCTCTGTGGCGGAAGTATTTTGCCTTTCTCTAAAGGTTTAATCCTGGTATTAAAAGGTGGGGGGAATATTAACTTGGGCCAGGGCATAGGGTTACGCAAGAGCCACTCGAGCGTGAAATCCCAGGAACAACGTGATTCGCTGAGAACCCCTGGGGAGGGGAGTCCGCACCGCCCGCCAGGACCTGCTCAGCCCGGGGCGCGCGGGCATCCGGGCGCTCCGTGCAAAATCGGGTGGAAGGAAAAGGAGGACGTAGTGGTTGGTGCTGGCACAGCGGCCGCAGTGAGCGATCGGATCGGCTTACTGAGTTCTTCCTGGTGGGGCGGGGAGCAGCGAGGGGAAGAAAGGCGGGGGAGTCGCGTCTGGTTCCTGCCTCCTCCTCGCTTCCTCTCCTTGCCAGCGTGCCAGGGCATGGGGAGCCCAGCGCTGTCCTCAGCAAAAGCTGGTGTGTTTTTTTGGGTCCCAAAATAAAGGAGCCTTGGAATGAGCCTCCCAGGGGCCAGGCCTAGAATGAAAAGGAGAAGCGACAGACAAGGGTGCTATTCACTGACCCAGTTGGGTTAAAACAAACACAAGCGCCCCAAGAAGTGGGGTGGCGGGGAAGCAAGCCTAGGAGGACGAGGTTGGGCGGAGAGACTGGGATGGTGGCTATCAAGGTCCCAGGTGTGCGTGTGCCTGGCCGCCTGGGTCGGTAGGTTCCCACCAGCCTGCTCGCTTTAGAGCTGGGGATTTCCACCGCTGAGCTCGGGGAGACACGCCGCCGCCAGCGCCTTCCTGCTGGGGCCGCCCGAAGGCGGGGCCTCGATGCGAAGCCCCTCCCTGTGGCCTCCCCATCCCCTAGGTCACTGGTACAGGCGGCACAACCTTTATTGCTGTCCTCAGCTGTGGTAAATATCTTGAGATACCTGAGCTGAGTGGTAAAACCCAAACTTGGGAGGAAGGGAGCATGTGCTGAGCGTTTGGGTACATTTGTACACCATGTTAAACACCTTGGAGTTGGCCAGCCCTAAATACTGTTTAACCCTGAGCAAATCACTTGGAAGTCAGTTTCTTCATGTGTAAAAT